ATATATATATACATATATATAAAAGGATGTACAGGGTTATGTAGGTTTTGGGTTGGGGATTTAGGGTTTAGCTTGCCTGCCCCCCACCTAGTAAGAGTTAGGCAAAGTATGTTGCAGTCGTAGCTAGCTCTTGCTACTGGGTGGGGACAGTGCCCTAAACCCCAAACCCCTAACCCCTAACCCCAAGACCTAAACCCCAAACACTAAACCCAACTAGACCCTAAATCCCAATCCCACAGGACCCCTACACCCTACACCTGAAACGTTGAACCCTGAATCCTAAACCCTAAACCCCAAACCCAAGACTCTAAATTTCAGAACCTGAACCCCAAACCCTAAACCCTTCTTTGGCACTCAGCGCGAGACCTGGAGGCTTCCTGAAAGCACACTTGGGACCTTTGCGGACTGCTGCTTAGGGTTTAGAATTTAGAGTTTAGAGTCTAGGGCTTGGGGTTTAAGGTTTAGGGCTTGGGGTTTAGGGTTGATGGTTGAGGGTTTAGGGTTCTGCAAGTGAGTACTGTCCCGGAAACTAGGGTTTCAGGTGTAGGGTTTAAGGAATGAATAAAAGGTTCTGTAGAGTTACAGTCCCTTGAAAAGGGTGATACGTTTTCAATGTTTTTTTTTTTTAATGGTTGTCCATGCTTTTGGGGGAGTTTAGCATTTGCTTGTTTAACATTGTGTTTCGGGTGGCTTAACATGCAGGACTGAGAGGTCATATAGGGTAAGCGGTTCTTCTGCATGACAATAACCGCAAAGACAGAAACGAGAAATACTTAAGCGGCGTCTTTTTGTGATTGATTCTTCCTATCTAGTATGATGACCAGAAGAGGACATGATGAAACAAATATTGGGGATGATAGTGCCCACAAATAAAACACTACTCAACCATAGGCAGATTACAAGACAGGAATTTTATCTATACTGATATATATATAGATGTATATATAGAAGAGGATCTAGGAAATTACCTGCTTCTACCCTGGGTGTTACCTACCTAGAACTCAGCAACCTACATACATACATACATACATACATACATACATACATACATACATACATACAAATATACATATCTACATAATATATACATATCTACATATATACATATGTAAGTATCTATGAACCCCTACAAGCAACTTTAAGGGTCACAAGGCAACGCCCAAACCGTAAACCCTAAATCCTAAATCCTAAACCAAACAACCCTAAACCCTAAATCTTAAATCCTAAACCAAACAACCCTAAACCTCAATTCCTGAATCCAGGATTCTCCGGGGGAGCGACCGTGTGAGGGACAGACGGCGTGCGGTGCCCGCTGTCGCCGGCATAAGTGCGAGAGATGCCTCCAACTGGGTTGCTGATGAGAAAAACCCTAAACCCTAACCCTATATAACCTATTATAATACTTTGCATCTTGTTTTTCATCATCCCCATATAACCCCAATATAATCCTAATATTGACCCAATGGGTACTCTTCTGATTCGCTCCACCTCGAGACCTTCTTGGCACACGGAACCAAACTGTTGGACGCAGCGAAGCATAGCGCCTGCTGTGCTGCCGCTGATGTTATCCTCCCTGCTTCCAGCATCCTTAGCCATGCAAATCGACGTCCGCCTCTTTCTCCATAGCTGCCATATTATGGGTACTTAGCTAAGGTTGCAGTATTCTTATTATTGTGGGCCTATTATTACTATTAGTACTATTTTACTATTAATACTACTTTCACTATTATTACTTTACCGTTCTTACCATTACTACTATTACCTGAAAATATTACAAGTATAACTATTATTACAACAAATCTTACTAGTTTCCATTATTGCTATCATTGATACTGTTATAGTTATTACACAAGTACTCATATTACTATGAAGTAAAGTCCCACCAAGGTCATTGCCACCCTTTCCGGGCCACTGAGCACCTGGCCTGTACTGGCCGATTCTTCATATCGACCTGCGGTTAAGGCTTAGGGTTTAGGGGGTTAGGGTTTAGGGTTTAGGCCTTAGGTTAAGGGTTTAGGGTTGAAGGTTTAAGTTTTAGAGCAACAAACTCCTGCCTTCAAGGGGCACGGGATTACATGGTGCCTGGTTGCTCTTTAATCCCCTTAAAAAGTGTAACATCTAGCTCCCTTTATATGAACCGGAGTCTAAACTCCTAGTATCCCCCTTAACAACCCATATAGCAGTCCCCTATATAATCCCCCATATAACCCCCCTTTACGCATTTTAGACTATAGCTCACATGAAATGGAGGAACCCCAAGAGTTCTGATGCGCCAAAGACGTAGTAAAGCCCCACCGAGATGAGAGCCGAGCTTCAGGGTTAGGGGGGTAGGTGTTTAGGGTTTAGGGTTTAGGTGTTGCAGGATTCAAGTTGGCGGCTTAAACCCTAAACACTAACCCTAGAGTTAAGTATAACCCACCAATAGGACAAATCTCCCAAGAAAGACTCCATCAAACGGGATTCTACAAGGGAACTAAGGTCTTATTCCCGTTAAAAATAACCCACCCCCCACCCCCTAACATAGCATTCCTCTTGATGCATGATTGTATTGTATGGAGGGTGGGTTATAAAAAAAAGCGGGTAAAGACTTCTAGGAGGGTCTGCTGTATTTAGGGTTGTAGAGATCATGGAACTAGGTAGGCCTAGTACGACATGCTAGTGGTATTTGGTGTTTATGAAGAGACCGTAGGGATGCTACCCGTTTGCGACTTTGCCCTCGACCCTTTTGGCCCTAGACCTCATAAACCCTCTGTACGCCCAGTTTCCATGTTATTGTCCATGTTTGCTTCCATTCTCTACTGTTGAGTCAAAAAAAAGTTAACATCCCTAAACCGTAAACCCTGAAACCCTGCACCCTGAA